AAAATGAACAAATCACTCCCCGAGATGACCCAATGTTCTCGAGTCATGGGAAAGATTTGTTCAAAGTGAACGAATCGTTTGTGAATGACACATGACTAATGGGCCCGATGATAGGCAAATATTTATGGTGTGGTGCATCAAATACCAGGCACAATGTGGGCTTGACATCAGTGAATCAAGTCCAACCGCTGACCTAGGTCACAAGTCTCCCCATCTTTCTCCTCGATTTAGTGTCCACCTCGTAGTGAGCTAGTTTGTGTGTATATAAATAATAAAGGTGAAATCCCCCCAAAAATTCATTTAAAAAACAAGAAAGGTAAAAACATATTTTAATAAAAACACGACTGTAAAATAAAAACATAAACACAGAACATAAAAAAATAAAATCACTCACTACCTGTAAATATACCTCGTACAGTTTATACAGACTTGAACAGGTCTCTAGTTCTTAAGTACTATTTATCCCTATTTATCTCATTTCAGTGAACATTCTGTTGTTGTCTGCATTGTTTACTGTCTGTTTATACTGCTTTTCCTGCATTGTTTGCACTGTTTGTTGATGTTAATACTGCTATTTTGTTATATTACACAGCCTTATGCTGGTTTACTGTTTTGCACATTGAGAGCCGAAGTACCTGAGTCAAATTCCTTGTGTGGCCATCACACCTGGCCAATAAAGCTGATTCTGAAGAAAAGATTGTTTTTAAAAAGTTTTCCAGAGAGCTTTAAAAGCTGGAGCAGAAGCACCCTGTCTGGTCTCCTCCAGCCATTCATTCTAAAGTCAATCCTGACACCAAAGGCCGCTGACCTGAGTGTCACCAATTCCCCTCCAACAGGGGATATCAGACTGCATACGAGTCCATAAGGGGTTAGTAGCTCAAAGATATAAACAGGGACCAAGTCCACAAGTGCTTTAAATGAAAGCTTAAAGATGGGTGGCCAGAGTGAATTTATATGGGTTTTCTTTTTGATTTACTAAGAAGCCTTGCAGCAGTATTCTGGGCTAGTTGGAGCTTGGACAGGTTGTGTTGACAGGAGTGAGTTATAATAATCTAACTGAGATGAAATGAAGGTATGAGTGACCGTTTCCAGGTTCTTCGTAGAAAAGAAGGATTTAATTCTTGAGTGTTCACTTGTGGTGATTATCTTACTGAACCAAATGTGTAACTTTGATAAACTGTTGTTTGTCACAGACCTTATTTTCTGCAATAATCCAGAATCCTATGGAAAAATCCCACTTGCTTTTTATCGAGGGAACCAGGGAGATGCTAACTTCTGGGTTGGCCTACAAAAATACGTCATCACTAAGGGTCTCTGTATATCAGATACATTTATATTTGATATTAAATAACATTTGTGCCTCCTGTTTTCACTAGTATTCCTCACTGCATACACCTTTAACCTTATCGAAATTAGGTGATCAAACAAACTTGGTCAAGGTTAAAAGTCCGGGCAAATATTTGTTTTATATCAATAGGTTCCAAAATATCAAAACAGCAGCTCAGGTCGGCTGTTTTGGGGACAAGGTCAGAGAGGCCAGATTGAGATGGTTTGGACATGTGCAGAGGAGGGATAGTGGTTATATTGGTAAAAGGATGTTGGAGATGGAGCTGCCAGGCAAGAGGTCAAGAGGAAGGCCAAAGAGGAGATATATGGATGTGCTAAAAGAGGACATGAAGTTAAATGGTGTGAGAGTAGAGGATGCCAAGGATAGAGTTCGGTGGAAACAGATGATTCGCTGTGGCGACCTCTAACGGGATCAGCTGAAAGTAGAAGAAGAAGTAGTAGATGGAGCACATTCATTCACTGATACTCTGAACATTTGGTTAAAATTTGCACTACGCATGGATGAAGCCTGACTTATGAGAGTAGGCTTTCTCCTCACCAGCCTATGTGGCTATTCAGAACAGGCATTAATCCTTTTGCCTTTACATAAAATCTGCCTGTACTCTATCAGCGGGGGCCTCTCTGGCCACATACACACATGTAAAAAGGGTTAAGAAATTGTCTCCATTTCTAGGAGGAATCGAAGTGTAAAAGTCTGCTTCTCTAACTTAAATGTAACACAGTTCCTTATATTTAATTAAATACACTC